TGCTTTTCTGTTCAACATCACATGTTAGAATGGCCCATGTTGGTGCATATAACAGCCGTTTATTCATTTTCACTGCTGCATAGTACTCCGCTGGGTAATACTGTCATGGTTCAGCCTTTCTCCTGAGACACGACCTAATTTGATTTTCTAACGGTGGACCAACCTTACGTTTGGGGGGTAAACCCAATTTCATTGTGATGTATTCTTTTATAAAAAAACACTGTTGGACTCTGTTTGCTGAGATTTTGTTTAGGATTTTTGTGTCTATGCTGGTGGGTCAGATTAGCCTGCCGTTTCCCTTTCTTGCCTTGTCCTTTTTTGGTTTCAGTATCGAGGTTATACACGCCACATCAAATGACCTGGGGAGTGTTTCTTCTTCTTTTAACCTCTGGAACACTTGTATAAGATGGATAAAACCAGGGAAGGGTTTGCTAAATGTAGCTACCATGCTGTTAGCCTTCTGCAATCCTGATTTTTGGTACAGAATCTTGGCTTCTTTTGGTACAACCGTCCTTGCATGTACCCCTACCCAAACCCGTGCCCTATCCCCCCAGAAGAACAAAGAAAACACGTGCCTCCCCCATGAGTATCCTCCCAGCTTACTGAGAATGCTGTTTCTGTTTTTTCACAGGTGGGTTGTTAACTCAAGATTTTAGCATGAAGAGTTGTTCTCAGGCCTTTCTTGAGCCCCCCAGGTAACACCAGGTAAGGTGCCTCCTTAACTAGTTAATGATTTTTCTTGAAAACCGGGACACAGGATCATTCACTTAGCCCTTAGGACCACCTTGCACATGAGCCATGAAGGGTCCAACTCCGGGGTCCAGAGGTGAATCTGGCCAAGCTGGGACCCCTTGGGTCCTAAAACAGACCTCAGGAGGCTCTGTTTTAGGAACATGTTGGCAGCTATGTGGTCCAAATCCTCTAAGCACAAAATTAGCTTCTTTCCATATTTTTCAGAGGGAAAGAATACCATGCTAAATATAACAGGGGTCAACAAGCCAGAAACTAGATAAATAGCCCCAGCTGCACTGCAGGGAGCTGAGTTTTCACATCCCCCCGTGAAGCCATCGAGATCCTGGTCCCAGAGAGGGTGGTGGAATCTACCAGCAACTCGAAGCTACCGCTGGGCACATACCCCTGCCGTGAACCCCAAACCCCCAAACCGTTATTTCTTTTTCTTTTTCTAAAAGCGACACATGCCATTTGTGTGTTTTCTAATTCTTATTTTCCCCATGAGAAAAAGAGAGGAAAACGCAATCTAATTCCATCACAGAGAGAAAATAACTGTAAACATCATGGTATGTATAATTTGAGTGTATAGCACTATAATACATTAAACAGTGTTTCTCAACCTCTCTTTCCCATTGTCCCCTAAGGACTCTTTATAAACACTCTTTTTATAATGTTCCCCCACCCCAAGCCATGAAATTTTAATGCCACAGAGAATACTGTCTGTTTATGGACCGTGGAGGGCCACAGACCACTCTAATTTCTACGATTATTATGCCATCCCCAAGAACCACATTTTACCCCCTGTGGGCGATCTCACCCTATTCAGAATGCAGGCTTTAAATAATATTGAATAATAAACCTTTTTTAAATCCTCACCCGAGGATATTTTTCCATTTATCTTCAGAGTGAGTGGGAGGGAGGGAGGGAGAGAGACAGACAGAGAAACATCGATGTGAGAGAGACACATCGATTGGTTGCCTCCCGCACAAGCCCAACCAGGGCTGGGGACCAAACCGCAACCAAGGTATGTGCCCTTGACCGGAATGGAACCTGCGACTCTTTGTTCTGCAGGCTGAGGCTCTAACTGCTGAGCCAAACCGGCCAGGGCAACAAACTTTTCTATAAGAACTTACTATGTGCTGCTCACATACTGTTCTAGGTGCTTTTACTTATCGTAACTCCCCTTTGAAATGAGTGCTAGAGAGGTTTAGCTCCATTTTAGAGTTGTGGAAATTGAGACACAGAGAAGTTAAGTGACTTATCTAAGGTCACACAGCTAAGAAGGTACAGAGTGAGGATCTGGGCACAAGCAGCCTGGCTCCAAAGTTCACACTTAATCACCAAGCTATGTTGCCTTGCTGCAATATATTCTGATTGTAAAAAGTTCAAAATACAGAAATAGAGAGTAAAAGGTATACCTCCCAAGGCCCCTCCATCCCCAGAGCAATCATTGTTATAAATTTGGAATGTGCCTCTTGTCTGGTATTTTTACACACATTTGTACATATGAAAATATATTGTCTCTTTTTTTTATTTTAATATGAATGGGATCGTCCAGTCTCTTTTCTTACATATTCAAATATACATATCTGTGTATAGAATTGTTTTAATTAGCATCACACTGAGTATACCATTATTTTAAACTTGCTGTTTGACTTTAAAATGTATCATTAGCTGCCTTGAGACCGTAATTTAATAAGCGCATGGACCATATTTTATTTAACCAGATCCCGATTATTGGCTATTTAAATAGTTTCTAGCTTCTCACTACCATAAAGCTGTGATCAATATCCTTGTCTAGCATGTACTTCTTAGAAGCTGGAATTACAGAACCAAAAACTATAAACATTGCTGAGACTTCTGATTCATAAATACCAAAATGTGCCATCCAGAAAAACTGTATGAAATTGCCCATCCCAGCACCCTCACCCACACTGAGGATTATCGTCTGTTTTCAATCATTGACCATTGAAGGGGCCTGATGTTTTCCTCTCTGCCCGGGACTCTTGCCTGGGGCCTGTTTTACTTACTGACCGAGTAAGGCAATGCTTGAGTGGAGAATTCAGGAGGAGGCGGTGGTTCGAGTGGCCCCAGTCGCTGGTTTAATAAACACACCATCAGCCTCCCAGGTAGAAGGCTTCCTGCCAGGGCCTTCGCAGGTGCTCCGCGGCTTTTTCACCTCCTGCTTCCGGCACATGCCTCAGGCTGCACCTCTGGCCTCGTCTCAGATCCATTTGGCAGAACCCAGGCGTTTCTAGGGCTGCCAAGCCCCTCATCCTTCCCTTCGCCGGCCGTGAGTGCTATTGTGAGAAACAAACACCCTTGTGCTTATGGTGGACTTCACAGCTGGTCCCACTCCAGCCGCCTGCAGCAGGATCCCTGTGCCCTGCATGTCACGCATGCACAGCTGTGCACACGCATGCACGCACATACAGGTTCACGCGCCTGTACACATGAATGCCCGTGCACACATGTGCACACATATGCATACACATGCACACTTAATGTACCATGTTCATGGTGCAGGCCCTTTTATGCCAGTGGGACTTCTGTCTTACAGAGACTTCCATACGCCCTCCGGCCCCGCTCAGGACATCCGCTGTCTAAGTGCACGGTTCCTGTACCTTCTCCTTTTCCGTTACCCCTTGCAGACTGTTCGGCTGCTGGCCCGGCAGCCCCGCCGACCCTGAACTTGCTCACCTGTGTTTCTCCGGCGCCTGTAACACTGCTTAGTAGATGCACAAGAGATATGTTGCGGGGATAAAAAGGAACAGGCTTCAAGCTGGTAAAGGGTGTTATCCCAAATATTTTGGGAAGTATTTTTGAACAAAGTGGTCAGTTTCAGATTAAGGCCATTGTTTAATGAGAAAATATCTCTGCGGCGTTGGATTTCAGGCAGCCCGGTTAGCTGTCCTTTCGGGCAGATCGGAAAGAATGCGGCTCTGCAAAGAGGACGTTGCCCAGCTAAACACTGTCAAGTGGCTGCTCTGCAGAGGCCGCTGTGGCGGGGGTGACGTGTCACAGGGCGGTCACCAAGAGCTGCGTGCTCGTCCCCCTCGGCCCCTGAAGTGTTCTGGGCTAAACTGTCAGGCGACTTGATTGTGTGGCTCACTCATCCGGTCAACGCACGGTGATGGGATCCCAGGCTGGCCGCTCCCTTTAGCATGAGGTCTGAGCTGCTCCAAGGAAAAAAGATTTCTCTTCCAGTGGGCACGGCAGCTAAGACGAGGACTGCACGTTTCTGTCCCTTGGAGAAAAGGAAAACTTGTCCAGCCAGTGTGGCTCAGTGGTTGAGCATCGACCCCTGCACCGAGAGGTCGCTGGTTCGGTTCCCAGTCAGGGCACATGCCCGGGTTGGAGGCCCGATCCCCAGTGGGGGGCATGCAGGAGGCAGCCAGTCGATGTTCTCTCTCATCGATGTTTCTCTCTCTCTCCCTCTCACTTCCTCTCTCTCTAAAATCAATAAGGGGAAAAAAGAAAAGGAAAACTGTGGCTGAAGAGCAGTGTGTGTTGCAGGCTGGCTTCACGCGGCCTCTGTTCATGTCACGCATCTGATTCAGCTGATAGTGTTTGAGTCCATGCTGTGTTCCTGGCCCAGAGATGAAGGAGGTACGGTCACAGGAAGAGACTTGCCACAGCACTTGCTGGGGGCCCAAAGGGGCAGCTGAGTTGGGGTAATCACAGAGCTGCAGAAATGCTGGCAGTAGCTGTGCAAAGAAGGGGAGGTGACAGATGAGTGGGAGAGGCAGGACCAGGTCAGGTCAGCCGTGACCCCCATTCTACAGAACCTGGATTCTCAGCTGCAGGAACGAGGGAGCTGTGGAGGCTGGGGAAGACCGCAGGAGGCTGTCTGAACTGGGTCCTGTCGATGCCCGTTGCCCAGGAGGTTGTTATAATTGTTGACCGTGGCTCATGCGTGCTATCATTCACACTCCTCACACACCTAGTGAAGTCTGAAACTTGACTGCTCTTCATTAAATTCTGAAAAATGTTTTAACGACCTGGAGCCCTGACCTTTCTGGCCTCCTGCAGGGAAAGGTCTGGCTTTTCCTTTACGGGTGGGCGTGGGCAGGTCAGCGTTCCTTCTGCAGGCTCACAGAAGGAGCCGAGCACGTAAGACATCTGGAATGCATCAGAGGCGAGCCCAGCCGGAGCCCGTGGCTCAGTGCTGCTTCTGAACTCCGGCAAGAGTACAGCCGCCGTGGTCACAAAAGCGTCGCGGATCGGACTGATTTTCCCCTCTCTCTGCTTTCCTTTCAGATCGCTTGGCCGCAGCTGTCGACACGGGATGCCTCGCCGCCGCAGCCCGAGAGTTCAGCTGCTGTTTTTTTAGTGTGGTGCTAGGAACCCTGTTCCGTGCGTTCAGGGGCTTTTGTTGTGGTGGCGGCTGCTGCTTTTTATTTATTTTCTTTCTTTGAACCGGGCCCTGCTCTGCTCCCGCTGGCATGATGGCCCAGTCCAAGGCCAACGGCTCGCACTACGCGCTGACCGCCATCGGCCTGGGGATGCTGGTCCTCGGGGTCATCATGGCCATGTGGAACCTGGTACCCGGGTTCAGTGCCGCCGAGAAGCCGACCGCTCAGGGGAACAACAAGACGGAGGTAGGCAGCGGGATTCTCAAGAGCAAGACGTTCTCCGTGGCCTACGTGCTGGTTGGGGCCGGCGTGATGCTGCTGCTGCTGTCCATCTGCCTGAGCATCCGCGACAAGAGGAAGCAGCGGCAGGGCGAGGAGATAGCGCGCATCCAGCACCTGCCGGGGGCCGAGCCGCACGTCCAGGAGGAAGACAGGTGAGGACGGGCCGGCCCACCAAGAGCGGCCGTGCACACGCACGCACACACGCACAGGGCTCAGCGATGACAGTCGTTTCGTCTAAGAAGCTTTATCTTCCCACTCTCTCCCACCAAGGCTCCGTAAAGCAGCTTGTCATTTTACAAATCGCTTTATACTTCTGTCCCGGAGGTGCCCAAGTATTATGGTATGAGTGGATTACAGGCGTGCCAAGATTTTGATACCCCCAGGAAAGTTGCCTGGGGACTGGCTGCTTGTCCGTTCCTCCCAGTGTGGGTATCCGCCCTGAGTGGGACAGGCGGGGAAGCAGTGTCCTTTCTGTTTGATCAGACATGCCACAAACAAACTGAAAAGATAAGTGATATATTGGGGAACATACGATAAAGCTTGATGTCCCTGTTATAGAAAGAGCCCCTGCGAATCTGAAAGATGAACACACGCGTAGGGAAATGGACGAAGGACACAAGCAAGCATTTCAAAGGCGTCCAGGCGATGGCTGTTCCACCTCGTTCGTTACAAAATGCAAACGCAGAGGTGTCGAGTTTGTACTCGTATGTCTATCAGAGCATTGCTTAGAATAGCCAACGCTGAGAATCAACCTACATAGCCATCCATCGAGCGAAACTGTGACATGCCCTTCAGTGACCTTCTGTGCAGTCACTGCTGATCTGTACTTGCTAATATGGGACCGTGTCCACCACACTGAGAAAAGGTTATAACACAGCATCTTGGGTTAAGGTCCCAATCGCACCGAGTACTGTGGCTGTGGGTTTAGGGAAGGATCTGGGTGTTAATAGGGTTTATCTCCGAGTGCAAGGATTCGGGATGTTTTATTTTGTTCAGTAGATTTTTCTGTGTTTGAATTTTCTGTAACTATCTCTTATCTTTATTGTGGGAGGGAGTTGTTTTTATTTTGGAAAAGTGAAACCGATGTCCTGATAATAAAAGACAGTCGTGCATATGCTAGAAAACTTGGGAAGCAGAGAAAAGAACCAGGAAGGAAAATCAGTCACCCACGGTGACTCGCCCTAGTGCATTCCTGAAGAAGATGGGAAGAAAGCCTAGACCAACAACAGGGCCGTTATCACCCCCCAGGTTCAAGGGCGGGGTCCTGGAAAATGGCATCACTCCCTATAAACGTGCAAAAACAAACACCCTAATTTTTGTGTTTTTTTAATCTCAACAGTCAAATGACGGTAAGGCCTGACCTATCCTTTGGGTCTTATGGTGACCCTGGGAGATAAAAATCACAGAATAATTAGAAATACGTATACATTTTATATTCAGATAGTCCTTTTCTACCCGGGGGCAACCATTTTGCTTCAAGTTGGCAGATATTTTCTGCCTGTTTATGTTGCCTTTGGCCACAGGACCAGCAGGGCATTCGCATAGCCCACCTGGCATGTTGTTAAGTGTGGGACTTAAAGGCAAGGGGGACTGGCACCCAGATAATACAGTCTAGTCACTGAGAATGGGGCATTCAGTTCCTACTCTCTTGCTTCCTAAAGGTATGGCCGAGTCAGGTGACCTCGATGGGTCAGTTTTGCCATCCATAGAATGGGCATAGTAACAGGACCTAACTCACCGTGTTGTTAGGAAGCTGAAATTGGTTCATATGTGTTCAATTACTTAGAACACTGCCCGGCTCATAACAAACAGATGAAGTGTTAGCTTTTATTTTTTCTTTCTATTTTTTTTATTTTTTTCCATTTTTATTTATTTTGTTACAGATATTTCTTTTTATTTTTAATATTTTTTTCTTTATTGATTTTAAAGAGAGAGGAAGGGAGAGGGAAAGAGAGATGGAAGCATCGATGAGAGAGAACATTGATTGGCCGCCTCCTGCATGCCCCCTACTGGGGATCAGGCCCACGACCTGGGCATGTGCCCTCACCAGGAATCGAACCGGTGACCTCTTGGTGCCTGGGTCGACGCTCAACCACTGAGCCACACCAGCTGGGCTTTTATTATTTCTTGGACCCGCTCATTGTTTACCAGGCTGGTGTCTATGGGCCCGGTGCCCACACAGGATTTGCACACCATCTTCTTGCGATTTTAAATGCCTTGTGTGCCTCTGCTTGGTGTCTTGCAGCCTGGAGGAAGAGGAGGAGGCCTCCTCGAGGTACTATGTCCCCAGTTACGAGGAGGTGATGAACACAAACTTCTCGGAAGCAAGGGACCCAGCCCAGAGCCCGAGGATGAGCATCTCTCTCCCCTCCTATGAGTCCTTGACGGGGCTGGACGAGACGAGTCCCACGACCACCAGGGCCACCGTGGAGGGCAGCCCGGGCCACCCACCCGACCGGCAGAACTCCAGGCTGGCCAAACGCCTGAAGCCACTGAAGGTCCGAAGGATTAAATCTGAGAAACTCCACCTCAAAGACTTTAGGATCAACCTCCCAGACAAAAACGCCCCTCCTCCTTCCATCGAGCCTTTGACTCCCCCGCCGCAGTACGACGAAGTCCAGGAGAAGGTCCCCAACGCCCGGCCACCTGACTGACGGCCCCTCTCTGGCGGGTTTCCTCCTGTCACACACCCTCCGCACCACCAGACCCCAATGAAGCCACTCCAGCTACAGTTGAGAATCGAGGGGACAGATGCAGACTGAGCAGTTTCGGATGGGGGGTGTGGGTTGGGGAGTCCTGTGATTCTGGGGTGACTCACATCCACAGAACCTCACGTAGCAGGTGCACTGGAAAGAGACACTGTCTCGGATCTCACGATGCTGAGAACCCCACCTGGGGGCGCTGTCGGCATCTTCCCCGTCTTCTTTCCTCAACTGAACGGTGGATGACCACGGCCTCTTTCTGACCCGGAGAGGGTGCCTAGCAACTGGTGTACACTGTGGTTTGGTTTTGCTTTCACGATGACTGTGTTATTTCCAAAAGAAAACAAGTCATGCCCTTGCTTTCCTGAATGGTGGGTAGGGAATACGACTCAGCTTTGTAGAAAGGACACGGGCCGTGTTGTGCATTAGGCAAAACACGCGGCAGGATGATGGTGTCAGGGTGAGGCCCAGGTGGGGTCCTGAGCCCGGACGCCATGGGTTCTTTGAGAGCCCGAGGCCTGAGGATGCTTAAAACCACAGTCTCCACCAGGACCCCTGACTGGGCTCTCCTGTGTGATGGCAGGAAGGAGAGCTGGATGGGATGTATTCACTCTAAAGTGCCGTGCGGCTGAGCTTTTTGTAATAAAAGGTTTTCTATGTAGTACACCTGGGTGCCGGATTACTCTAGCAGCGCTTCTGAGCTGACTGGCTTCCCGAGCAGTATCGATAGTCCTGGCAGCTGATGTGGACCAAACACTGACTACGTGCTAAGCACCCCACATAGGTTATCCCGTTTCATCCGTACCCATGCTGCAGGTCAGTCGCGGAGGCGCAGGGTCATGAAAGGGCCCCGGGCCACATCGGTAGGAAGGGGCAGGGCTGGGGTTCGAACCAGGTCGTCTGGCTCCAGGCCCTGAGCCCTTCCACACCCCACTGCCAATCCGTGTGAAGAGCTTTCCAGACGCTGAATGAGGTCTGTGTTCCCCGAGAGCCGAGGCTGTCCCCTTCCACCCACAGGCCCGACAGAAAGTTCTGGTGCTGGGCAGCAGCTCTCTACCCATCTGAACGTTCTTCCTACACCTCTGTCCTGAGACCGGCCCGGGGGGAGCTCTGCACCCCGTCTGCCCCAGACCTGCCGAGCAGCGATCAGGGAGGGTGCTGAGCGTGTCCCTGTGGAGAGGGCAAAGGGACTGCCTCTGGAGCCCAGAAAGGCAGGAGTAGGGGTGTCTGGGGCAGGGTCTTGGCCGTGGAGTGGGAGTCTGGGCAGACAGACCCGTCCGAAGGAGCCTTCCCGGCCTGGGCAGGCAGGGACTCCGGCTGGGAGTCCACGTGGCTGGGAGGGGGCTGGAAGAGTCCGTTCTCAGGCCCTGGAGGTTCCCTGAAGCTCCCGTGGATGGGAAGTGACAGCAGTGTGGAAGTGAGTCACCTCCTGACCTGGGGATTGGCAGCGGTTCCCAATGTCCGACCTTTCGCTTTCCTGACGCCAATCATCTGCCAGGAAGGGAGCCACGGGGATCTGCCTGCTGGCGGGGGACACCCGGGGGCCGCTCTGGTCCCGGCCCACTGCGGAGCCGGTCGGTGGCGCTCTGTGCAGCTCTGGGCTGGGCCTGTCCCTTCAGTCTCTCTCTCTGCTTCCTCCTGACGGGGGGAAAGGAAAAGGGGACCAGCAGGGCTCCCAGTGAGCTGAGAAACAGCTTTTTATTTATTTTTATTTTATTTATTTATTTTTTTAATCCTCACCCGAGGACATTTTTCCATCTTTTGTACAGACAGAGTGGGAGGGAGAGAGAGGAAGAGAGAGAGAGAGAGAAACATCGACGTGAAAGGGACACATCGAGTGGCTGCCACCCTCACGACCAACCAGGGCCGGGGACAAACTGCAACCGAAGTACGTGCCCTTAGCGGGAACCGAACCCAGGTCTCTCCGGACCGCAGGCCGATGCTCTAACCGCTGAGCCAAACTGGCCAGGGCTGAGAAACAGCTTTTTAAAAGGGCTCTCACCCTGGATGGTTTGGCTCAGCAGTTAGAACGTTGGCCCGTGGACCAGAGTCCTGGGTTTTGTTCCCACTAAGGGCACGTACCTCGGTTGTAGTTCGTCCCCGGCCCCGGTTGGGGTCATGTGGGTGGCAACCACTCGATGTTTCTCTCTCTTCCTCCTGCTCTATCTGAAGATAAATGCAAAAATGTCCTCGGGTGAGGATAAAAAAATAAATAATACATAAAAGGGCTCTCCACCTGGCCTCTGGTAGACATCTTTCGAGGTGTCTTCCCAGCCTAGACCCTCCTTGGGAGAGAGAGGTTTGGGGCTTGCAGTGGGCTGGATGGTGCCCCTAAATATCCCAGGAACCTGAGAATGTTACCTTGAAGGTAAAGCTTTGCCCACGTGACCTGGTTAAGGATTTTTAGATGAGGAGACCTGGATCATCCCGGTGGGCACTACATATCATCCACAAATGTCCTTACAAGTGGGAGACGGAGGCAGTCACAGGCACAGAAGAGGAGGGGGACCTGTGACCACAGAGGCAGCGACTGGAGCGATGCAGCGACAAGTCAAGGAACACCGGCGGCCGCCCGAGTTGGGAGAAGCTCAGATGTTCTCCCAAGGGAGCCCGGCCCTGCTGAAAACCTTGGTTTCAGCCCCGCCGATGCTGAGCGTGGGCTCCTGGCCTCCAGAGCCGAGACAGTACGTTTCTGCTGTTTTAGGCCATCACCAAGTCTGTGGGAATTCGTTCCAGTGGCCGTAGGAAACCAATACGGGTTCAGTCTTCAGTCTTCGAGACCAGCCTCCTTCGGCCTGAACACCTCCCAGCTCTCCCTACGGGCAGGAGTACCGTGGAAGTGGCCGTGGGGGCCCTACGTGTTTTGTGTGTGTGGAAACGATCGAGTAGAACAGTATTCGCATTACCCAGAACAGATCGTGGAAAGTTAGCGTATAAGATTCACAGAGCACGGGTTCACCGGTAACACAGAGGCAGGGAGAATGCGAACCTGAGCGATAGGCTGGAGGCCTGAACGGGCCCGGCGGGCAAGGACAGCACCTGCGGGGCTAAGTGAAACCGCCTGCCGGGCAGGGCCGGGCCGGGCCTCTGCTCCGCGGACTTCCCCAAGGCTCGCTCGAGCCCTCCGCTCCTTGGCTCAGACCACGGGGCTCCACCTGTTCACTTAAAGCAAAAAGGTAAAAACCAGAAGACCCGAGCCCTTTCCTCTGCATCCCATTTTTATCCTTTTTTGAAATCCTCAGCTGAGGATATTTTTTTCCATTTATCTTTAGATAGAGTGGGAGGAAGGGAGGGAGAGAAAGAGAAAGAAACATCGACGTGAGGGGAACACATCGACTGGCTGCCTCCTGCACAACCCCGACCAGGGCCGGGGACTGAACCGCAACTGAGGTACGTGCCCTTGACCAGAATCGAACCCGTGACTCTGGTCCTCAGACCAGTGGTCTAACCGCTGAGCCAAACCAGCCAGGACACATTTTCATTCTTAGGGTAAATATGAGGACAGAGGTGAGGGAGAAGATTCAAGAGGCCACCCACCTGTTTTAGAGCCCTGATTGGCCCATGGAGGTGAAAGAGAAAATCCCCCAGCACTCCCATCCCCTAAGGAGGCATCTCAGCAACCACCTTGGTGCCATGTGACCTACACGCCCCAGGACACAGCTGATTGGACCTGCAGTCTGTGTCCACCTGACCCAGGAGAACCCATCAAAAGCTGAGCTGGGCTAGGGCCTTCTCTCCCAGGAATTGGTCCTGGGATGGACGGAGAGGCCATTGGGTGACATGGTCTCAGGACTTAGGGGGCTGTTTGGGGGCCATCGTGATGGGCCTGCCCTGCAGGGAGAACGAAGCTCGCTGCTGAAAGAGGCAGGCAAGAGCCCTCGGAGGTGGCTGTCTGTGGGTGACTCCCTGGTCCTTGACCGTGTCCCGTGGGAACCCCAGCTGTACTTCTGCCCTTGTTCATAAGAGATGCTGCTGTGTCCTCCCAACAGATCCCCCTTTTTAGCTCCGCCCCTCCGTTGAGCAGACGTCCTTGAAGGCAGGCCCTGCTTTGGTATCCTCGGCAGGGCTGGGCCCACAGTGGGTGCTCCGCCTCCTCTCAGCGGATTTTCACTCCTCTCAGACTGTCCCAGCTCTGAGGGCGACAGAGCGCTACCTGGTGTGTGCGCAGCTGAACCAGCCGGGCCCGCCCACAAAGTGCGCCGAGCTCCTGCATAAACCAGGCCCTGTTCCAGCCTCTGGGGACGCGGTATGAGGCTCGAGTCCTGCTCTCCACGGAGGGGCTCTTGCTCGGGCGTGTTTCCCAAAGTGGGTCCCGTGGCCTCGGGTGACAGGACCACGGTCATCTTGGACTCACAATTTGAATTGGGTACAATAAACTTGAAAGCCACGGGGGAGCCGTTTGCACAGAGAAGGCTGGGTGCAAGGAGAGACGGATGAAGCAGAGGGCCGCGGAGGAGGCAGCTCTATGCAAAAAAGACATAGAAAAAGCAGCTGCTTTGCATCTCCCGGTCTGGGTCCTCCTTAGCCTAGCCACACCCCCATAAGACGCCCTAAGCTGCTCTCAATACAGTCCCATCTTTGCCAGGTAAGTTGCAGTGGGTTTCTGTTACTTGAGGCCAAACGCGCTGAGGTGACCTGGTCCTGGATGGAAATCACGCGATGGCAACGTCGAAATGACCTGCAGCAAACTGAACATGGACTTGGCTGCATCCCTGGAAATGGATGGATCAGCTGACCCACTGGCTGAACAGGGCAGTACACAGAGAGCCCTAAAGGCCCTGACAAGGACCATTTAGCTCCCAGGACAAACCGTGCTGAGGGTTTGAGCGCAGAGTTCTGAGAGGACAGGGGAGACATGGGCTTTCTGCAGGGAGGACGTTGTTTTCATCCCGGCACGGTCGCTTAGAGGTACGCTTTTGGGCCATCAATTCGACCCTCTGCAGCAAAACGGAGGTTCCCGACGTCAAGGTGGGTCCCTGAGGACGAGACCAGTGCCTAAGCTGCACCTGGTACCTCGTTTTGGGGAGGAAGAGACCAGTGCCTAAGCTGCACCTGGTACGCTCGTTCTGGGGAGGAAGAGACCAGTGCCTAAGCTGCACCTGGTACCTCGTTTTGGGGAGGAAGAGACCAGTGCCTAAGCTGCACCTGGTACCTCGTTCTGGGGAGGAAGAGACCAGTGCCTAAGCTGCACCTGGTACCTCGTTTTGGGGAGGAAGAGACCAGTGCCTAAGCTGCACCTGGTACGCTCGTTCTGGGGAGGAAGAGACCAGTGCCTAAGCTGCACCTGGTACCTCGTTTTGGGGAGGACGAGACCAGTGCCCAAGCTGCACCTGGTACGCTCGTTTTTGGAAACACATTCTGGGAAATTCACTGGGTGTCATGGGCTGTTTGTGAGGCATCTTCCTGGGAAGCCAGCTCCCGGGAAACGGCAGCCTGGTCTCATCATCGGGCTCAGCCTGCAGCAGCCTCAGCCCCCACCCCACCCCACCCCATGCTCGGGAGGGCGACTCCCATGGCGGAGCAGTCAGGCTGTTTCGTTTGATTTTCGCTCTAATGTTGTGTTGTCAATACAATCAGAACCGGGTGTCTGGGACCGAGAACGTGAATCGTAGGAACCACAGC